CCGACACCGTCCACTGTGTGTCCACCCGTCTCAGCCGCCCTCTCCTTTGACACAGCAGTTGGGCTAGAAAAGCCAAGAAAGGGGCCAGCCCTGTGGCCTGGTGGCTAAGGGAGGTAGATCCCACATGGCTGACCACACAGCTCAAATCCCAGCCCTGGCGGCTTGAAAAAACTGGACATGTGTGAGTGTGTGCCTTGAACTCAGCTGGATGGAGACATGGAGAAGGGGCTGCAGCACGGCCAGGCCCCACTTTCTCCCTCTCACACTGTTTTTCTGTATCTCCCTGGCAAGCGCATGCAATCTCTGGCAAATAAGAAAAATAGAATAGATAAATACATTTTTTTGTAAGGACCAACAGGTGGCATGGTGGTTAAGGTGCTGGACTTCTATATAGCTAACCACAGTTCAAGTCCAGACCTGGCAGCTTGCTTTCTCACTTTCCCTCTCTGTCTCTTCCTCTGGTGACATGCCCTATAGCAAGTTAAATTTTTTTTTTTAAGAATTATTTATTTATTCATTCACTCATTTACCTTCATTTGGCCGGAGAAAGACAGACACAGAGAGAGAAGAGAGAAGGAAAGTGAGAAAGCAAGCCATCAGGTCTAGGACTCGAACTGTGGTCAGTCATGTGAGAGTGTCCAGTGCTTTAGCCACCACATTGCCTGCTGGCTCTTTTAAAAAAGAATCATTATTTCTAGGGGACCAGCAGGTGGCATGGTGTTTAAAGCACTGGACTCTCCCATACGGCTAACCACAGGTCGAGTCCCAAACCTGGTGGCTTGCTTTCTCACTTTCCCTCTCTATCTGTGGACTTCTCTCTGGCCAAATTAAAATAAATGAATGAATAAATAAAATTAAAATCGTTCATCATTTTTTTTTTTTTAAGGGTGCATGCACTCGCCAGAGAGACAGAGAGACAGAAAGTGAGAAATCACTCCCCCCCCCCTCGGGATGGCCACGCCGCAATCCCTTCTCCTCCGTTCTCCTCTCGGGATCTTGGGCACGCACGTACATGTGCCCGGCATGAGTTTAAGCCACCAGGTCCGGGACTTGAACCACAGTTGACTACATGGGAGTCCAGTGACATAGCCATTATGCCAACTGCTGGTCCCAATAAATAATTCTTTAAAAAATTATTATTTCTTAATTTGAACAGAGAGATACAGAGAGAGAAAGTGAGAAAACAAGCTGCCAGGTCCAGGACTTGAACCTCGTTCAGCCATATGGGACTCTAGCACCTTAACCACCATACCACCTGCTGGCCCCTAATAATTCTTTTAAAAAAAATTTTTTTTTTTGCAGGAATATATAAGGGGTACCGAGAACGCACAGCGGGCTGCCCTGCCTCACACGAATACATGTCCTGCCTCCCTTCCTTCCTCTCCCTCTGCACTACTTCGTGAAGGACGTAAAATTATGGGAAGAGGGGATAAAAAACCAGCTCTGGCTAGTTTAGTCCTAATTCTTGATGCTTTTGTACCGTAAACCTCAAGGAGGAACGGTTGAACTCAAGAAGCAAAAATGGTCCAGAACAAGTTGTCCTAAGCATGACAAAGTTCATCTGGCATTACTAAAGGAAAACCCATCTTAAATGACTAAGTGGAGCAACTAGGCCAGCACCGACGCTCCCACCGCAGGGCAGGGCCACCGGGGAGGAGAGGGGACTGAAGTTGGGCCCGGAGCTGCTCCTTGAGGGTGAGCCAAAGCAAGCGGCCGGGGCCACAGCCACATCCTGGAGACATTATCAGGTCTTGGCTCCTTGGACTCGGAGGGTCAGCATGACTCGACAAGTCTCAAGAGGAGGCCCAGGGCTGGCAGGACCTCCCGGTCGGCGTCATCAACCGCTCTCCTGGTGACACTGCATCCTGAGTTCCGGGAGATGACCCCTGCCTCCCCATTTCCCAGCTTGCCAGTCACCCAAATACTAGCAAGTTCTCCCAGTGCAGCTCTCTGGCTAAGGTTTTGGCTGATTCTCCTTTATCTCCAGCGGCAAATTCAGTCCCGCCATTCTTTGTGTCTCCCTGTGGATCCTAATAGTATTTGAAAAATGAACACTTCGTTAAGTATTTGGTTGCGAAGATTATCTTTTTAATATATTGCTGAATATGGTTTAGGACTTTCGCACCGATGTTTATGGGTGAGGTTTGCATATAATTTCTTCATTTTTTCTGCTACTATCCTTATCAGGGTTATGCCAGCCCCACAAAATAATGCTTTGGGCTATAAAATAGTTCTTTATGTCCATCTTCTTCTAATTAAGATTCCCTCCAGAAGACTTGCAATCTCCTGGCTACCAGGGTCCTAAGAAGACTGGGACAGAGTGAAAATGCTCATCTAATCCCTTAAAGCCCTTTCACCCTCATCTCTTTCTGACCTTGACCATGAACAGCTCTTCCCTCTCCAGAGGCGAGATCTCTGCTCAGCTGGCAGAGGGTGGGCAGTCACCAAGCTGCCCATAAGGAGGGTGTCTAACCCTTCAGTAACTTTCTTCTCCTGCCCATCCCGGAGGTTAACACTATCTTTTGGGGGGTTGTGCAATGTCAGCTCATTTCCTCATGGCTGGCTGTCTCCACCACAGGCTCGGGATCCAACGTTTTCAGCTCTGCTAAATCTTTTTTTTTACTTTTTAAGAATTATTTTATTTATCATTATTATTTTTCAGTTTGCTACAGGGCATATGCACTCACCATAGGCGGGGGAGGGGGGGGAGTGAGAAAGTAAGCCTCCAGCTCTAGGACTCAGCCAGCTCTGGGACTCAGCCAGCTCTGGGACTCGAACTGTGGCCAACCACTTGGCAGTCCAGCATCTTTTTTTTTTTTTTTTTTAAGAATATTTTTAATTTTTAACTTTATTTAATTTCAGTTTTAATTTGACCTGAGAGGGACAGAGTGAGTGGGGGGGGGAGCTAGCTGCAGGGTCCAGGTCTCGTACCGTGGTCAGCCATGTGAGAGTTCAGCGCCTTTAACCACCACACTGGCGTCCTCACCACCTGCTGGCCCCTCTGCAGTTCAGCTGCTAGATCTTGCAATACCGCCAGGACCATCGACTTCAAACACTGTGTTGTTGCCTTCCTGATGTTGAGCTTGTGGATTTGCCTCTACACAAATCCCTCTACTGTCCCTTTTCACTAAGAACAGAAGGGACTTTAAGTAAAGTTTGCAGAAAAATGGAACTAAAATATGAGTTGATTTGGGTGCAAAAATTTGTTGAAACCCATGCCCTTCTTCCATAATACGGACTTCTCATGAACTCTTTGAAGCCCCCCCCCCCCAAACACATATCTTCTATTTTTCTGGAATCTGTGACACTATCCCCTATAGTAGCTTTTTTTAAAAATTAGTTTTGCTATAGGGAGTGTACGCTCACTGGAGACAGACAGAGAGAAAGAAAGTGAAAAACACCTGCCAGGGGATGGCCACACAGTGCCTTCTCCTCTCAGGATTTTGGGTACACTCACACATGTGCCTGGTGTTTTTTTCAAGCCATGGATTTGGGGCTCCAACTACACAGTCAGTCATGGGGGATCCAGCTGCCTTAACCTCTATGCCTTTATTAATAAGTTAATAAATTGGCATGGGGAATCTAGTGCCTTAACCACCATGCCACCAGAAAACCACCATGGTAGGCAGAAAATATTTTAAAAACATATTTTTTTTGGTGGGGGGGGGAAGGTTCTTCCTACAGGGCACGTGCACTTGCCAGAAAGACAGAGACAGACAGAAAGTGAGAAATCACCTCCCAGGGGGGATGGCCACGCCACAATCCCTTCTCTTCCATTCTTTTCTCGGGATCTTGGGCACGCATGCACGCGCACCCGACATGAGTTTAAGTCACCAAGTCCAGGACTCGAACCATGGTCAACTACATGGGAGTCCGGCAACATAGCCATTACGCTAACTGCTGGTCCACCGCCCCCCCCCCCAATTTTTTCTTTTTTTTTTCTATAGGGACCCTGCGGTTCCAAGGACAGAGAGACTGAGAGAAAGTCCACTGGGGGAACCACACAACAATCCCTTCTCTTCGTCTCCTCTTGGGATTTTGGGCACACACATACACATGCCTTTTTTTTTTTTTTTTAAAGCCACTGGGTCCAGGATTCAACCCACGCTGTTGGCCTTGTAAGAACCAGCCACCTTAACTACCACGCCGCCTGGCTGGCTCCTGAAAATGTTATTTCATCTTTGTTCTTAAAAGACAGTTTAACCAAGTATAGAATTGTAGGTCCAGAGTTAACTCCTAGCACTTTGAAGATATAATTCACTGTCTTCTAGCTTTTGCCAGAGGAGTCGTCTTCAGAAAGTTCACAGAAAATGCATATTATGAAAAAACTGCGTAGATTAAAATTTTTTACTGGCACAGAAGTAAACTTGAACTTTCATTTCATTCTCCATAAGCTTTCTGAGGGCCCCTAGATAATGGCTGATGCGCAGTTAGCTGTCAAGCCAGTTTTTACTCGCCGTTTCACTGCGATGGGCCTAGAAATGCACGGATCCATCCTGCTTGATAGGATTATCGAGACGCTGTCAGTACTTTGGTTGAAGCTTGAGCTTTTACCGATTTTACCTTGGAAAGTGCTGACAGATCCTACAGGTTGGGCTACCTCCTGAAGAGCCACCAGGGCAGAGGGGGCAGGCTGAGGGAAGCGCTGGCCGTGGGGATGCAACTTACCTGCTCTCAGCACGCGGGAGGCCCTGTCTGTGAACAGCACGCTGCTCAGTCCATTTTAAGGCTAGGCCCAACAGAACCTCACTTTCCACGCTTATAGGGACCCTGGATCTGGGTGGAAAATGAGTAAGTGGCAGGGCACAGGCCCTTGCAGAAGCCAGTGAGATCACCGTGGGGGGGAGGGAAATGGATCCCGCCGTGAGGCTCAGGCAGGGGGGCCTGGAGTGCACTACCTGTTTGGTTTTTATTTTTTAACTGGGAAGAACATGGACCACACCTGGTTGCTTCTCTTTGTAGCTAAATAAACACTCTTTTGATCAAATAAGTCGACTTACTCTCATTTAGCAAAGTGTTTTATTCAAAAGCTTCTCAGCACCATCTAGTTGTCAGAAAGAATGGTTATCGCCCGCTCCTGCCCACCCGCCCCCAGCCCCAGAGGCAGAAGTGGACCGTGTGGCCAGAGCGCCCCCTAATGATCACAGCCGAGACCCTGATAGGCGTTAGCTGTCCTCTCACCCAGTTTCCCTTAAGCCCCGACCTACACCTGACTCCAGCAGAACTGTGTCCCCGCAGTGCAGGGCAGCAGGGAGGAGTCATGTCAGACCCGATCAGCCTCCCACATGATCAGCTCCCACCTGCAGGCCCGGAGGCACCCGAAATCCCCCTGGAAACGGAGCTCAGTGGCTGCCACCCTGCAAGGGCGGTGACACTGGGCCGCAAGCAGCTTGGAGAGCTCAAATCCGAGGCAGCCCCCCACCCCACGCCCCACTCTAGGAACAAGCAGCGCTAGGTCCTTTCCTCTCCCTGAACCTCAACTGCTCATCCTGTTTTATTAAAACACAGACACACTGAGTCGGACCTTTGACAATGAAGACAGACAATGACACTCGATTAACTTATGCGAAGAGACCCTGAGCTGTTGGAGATAGGAGAGTAGATAGCACGTCCTGATCTTTCCCTTTGTTTCCTTTAAGAATATTTTGCTTCAGCGTAAAGCACACTTCCCCGAAGAGGTTCCTGGAGGAGACTGGACGTCCAAGAGTCGGACTGTGTTTTGCGGGAACACAGCCGCCCGTGTTGCTTTGGCTTCAGTCCCTGGATCTGTCCTTCCGCAGCTACTTCAGGTCTCGTGGGAGGGGGAAGGAGCTGGAGGCAAAATCACTCGGCCAAAGCCCCCATGGGGTCCCATGCCGGCAGGACGATGGGCTCCTGCTCCAGCACGGCTAGCACCTCCTCAGGGACGTGCTTCCTGTCCACCACCACCTCGTAGACGTACTCGGAGAACCACTCGTCCGTCATGCACAGGTAACCTGCGGGGAGAGCAGAAGCGTGAGCCCAGCGAGCAGGGGCAAAGGGCAGAAACGCTGTGGGAACTACCGCAGCCTTTCACAAAGCTACGATTCGAACATGTTTCTCAGCTTTCCCACCCACACCCTCGCTTACCCTAAGCCTTAGCGGAGGTTCTGGGAAGCCCACAGGCAGGCATGGCTTACATTTTCACCAGTTTGGAAACTGGGCTCGGGATAACCAAGTGACGTGCCCGGACCACACAGGCCAGGTTCAGAGCTGGGCCTCGGACCTAAGCCCGGCACCGGGCCCGGCACCGGGCCCCACTGCTTGGCGGCCTTACGGACAGGTGGCCTGGGTGCGGCCCCCCAGAGATCACGCAGCTCCATGCTTCCTCTTCCCCTTCTCAGGTCACGGGCTGCTTCCTTCCTCGCTATCACACAGCCCTGCAACAGCGGCTACGGCACGACGTGGGGCCACGTGATCACTTCCAGAGCCACTTACTTGTGGGTGACACCGTGTTAGTCAGACCCAGCCCTTGCTTTCCTAGCAGGAAGTCTGAGAGGGACAGGCAGAGCTGTCTGCAATCCTCCTCGGGCCCAGTTACGGACCAGCGTGGGGACTGCACAGAGGCACCCCTACACGGCGCCTAGGGTGAGCACTAGCCGAGAGAAAGTGAGGTGTCATCAGTGCCCACCCTGGCGACTGGCCTCTTCCCATCGGAGGATGAGTCTGCATCTCACGCCCCGCTAGGACACACCCCCCTTAGGAACGTATGTGACAGGAACAGGTCACCAGGAGAGCACAGCGAGCACGACATGGGGCACCTAAGCACGTGCACCCCCAACGGGCCCACAGAACGCACAGTCGCCGCCACCGCGTCTGCATCACCGCCCGGCCGGCCTGGCACCTGCTGTATCAGACTTTCGGGTTCCTTTTCTGAAAGTGTCTGTGGAAGTGCGCTGTCACCGCCCCACACAGGACCAGGAGAAAGGGAGACGGTGCCGGTGTTGCTCCCACCGGTCCCCTAGTGCAGCAGATTTTTAAGTTCTTGGCCTCAAGACCCCTTTTTACTCTGAAAATTACTAAGGACCCCCAAAAGTTGTTTATATCCATGATATCTGTCAATATTTACCAGAGTGAAAATTAAGTTTAAAATATTAACTTATTTTAAAATAATTATTAAAAATATGAATACTGTTTAAGTATTTTAAGAAAAATAGTTACATTCTTTTAAACAAAAACTAATAAGAAAGTGTCAGTCTATCTTTTTTTTTTTTTTAAAGAGAGATTTTTGCTAAAGGGCGTGTGAGCCCACCAGAGAGACAGACAGTGAGAAAGCACCGCGGGGTTAGGGGCAGGACGGCCAGACAGACAGACAGACAGAGAGAAAGCACCCCCGGGAGGATGGCCACACTGCAATCCCTTCTCCTCAGTTCTCTCGGGATTTTGGGGACGCGCACACACACGCTTGGCGTGAGTTTTAAGCCACCAGGTCCAGGACTCAAACCGTGATAGCCTACGTGGAAGTCCAGCACTGTAACCATTCCGTCGCCTGCTGGTCCCTCCTGACCCCATTCTTCTGTTCTCAAGAGGAGCCTGTGGTGAAAGAGGATGACCAGCGCTGCAGCCTGCGTGGCCTCTGGTTTCCACCATGCTGACCATCGGCTCCAGGATGCTCGGCTCTGCCTGTGTGGGTGGGCCAGGAGTGCCCTTAACCTCCCCACACTCCTGCCACCAAGTTCGAGCATCCTGGCACCTCCTGAGAAACTCAGCGTCTGCCTTAAGACGGCGCTCTCAGCCAGCAGACCAGACCACTGGTCTACACCACACCAGGTGGGCTGCGATCCTGGCACCCTCCCGCGGCGCAGCTGAGGAAGTGCTTGGACTAGCCCTGGGCGCTGAGGCAGGTAAAGCAGAGGCAGAGCCGTGTAATAAAGTTCTGTGTCCTCATAACAATGCTATCGCCAGACCATCTAATGAATCTTCAAAGACTGCCCAGAGAAAACGGACAGTAAGTACATCTACACGATCTTGTCCTGAAAGCTGGCGATCAGATCGAGTCCTCACAAATTAAAACTCCTATCACTGTAACCCACCCTTGCAATGTCCCTGCCGAGGGCACCCGCCAAGATGAGTCTCTCTCTCCAGGATATGAGTTCTTCGGGGCCACAAAAACCTCCCGGTCTAGGTGCCTGCCAAATAATTGCACCCGCAGCAGATAATGGCCCGGTGGCTGCTGTAACTGTTGACACTGCGTGTCCTGGAGTTTGACTGAGAAGATTGGGATCAATGTGTCTGAAACCCGAGAGAGCGCAGGGGTGCAGGCGTGCGGAGAGAGCAGCACAGCCGCGTGCAGGCAGGGGGCCGGTTCGATTCAAGAGAGTTGCAGCTCCTGGCTCTCAAGCACTTTGGCCATCAGAAACGGGCACTCCCCAAGGAAAAGGAAAAGGAAAAGGAAAAGGAAAAGGCAAGATGAAAACCCACTCTGGCATAACAAGGGTGGATTGAGGGAAGCAAAAAGATACACAGATAAAGTCAGCTTTAGGAAAGAAGGTGGAAATTAAATTTTGTTTAAACTTTAATGTCTTGTTTACATGCAGTGAAAAAGAAATAAGTGAACAGTTCCTCAAAAAAACCTGACAAGGCCTGTATTTTCTAAGAGAAAGAGTAGAATCAGTCCGTAAAGGGAAAACAGCGTCTGTGGATATAGCTCAGACTGGTTAGGTGAGAGAACAGTTTTCTGAAATCCTAGAGATCTAGGATTTAAACCCCTCAGACTAGATGAAGGTGACAAATATATCATCATTTATGAACTATAAATATTTATATTTTTTGTTGTCTTTGTTTTATAAAGTATTTCACCTCATTAGCAAACTATTGTTTGTTTGTTTGTTTTTGGTATTTCGGAAAACCAAGTTATCTGTTCAGTTCTCAGGGGTCTGCCTGGCAGCGTAGACCTACGGAAGCCGGCCCGCCAAAACCTCCTGTTGTTTCCAATCTCCCACGTAATGCCCATGATTCAAGGCTGAAGAAAGGCTTCCCGAAAGTAGAGCAGAAACCCCATATTCCAAACTTCCTAATGAAGAGCGAGAAGCTGACTCACAGAACATGAGTCATTTAAAATGAAGTTACAAAGACAATATAGCAACACAGAAAAATGTTTAAGCAACAAAAGTATATAAAAACAGTATATACTGTGTTATTATTGCAACTATCACAAATGTAGATGCACATGGAAAGCAATAACAAAATAATTTTTAAAAAATGGGCCAGAGGGCAAATGGGTGAGAGAGAGAGAGAGAAAGAACCCCACCCCCTCCATGGAGGACAACCATGCTGCAACCCTTTCTCCCCTCTTTCTTCCTCCTTTTGAGATTTTGGGCAAGCACACACACAGGCCCCGTGTGTTTTTATTTGATTTATTTTTTAAGAGAGATTTTTGCTATAGGGTGTGTGTACTCGCTGGAGCGACACAGAAAGACAGAAAGCAAGAAATCACCCCTCAAGGGGTATGGCCATGCCGATCTCAGGCACGCAAGCACATGCACCCAGCGTGAGCTTTAAGCTGCCAGATCCAGGACTCAAACCACGGTTGACTCCATGGGAGTTGCAGAATTTCAACAGAAAGATTAGACCCCAACAGAAGATAGATTAACTTCATGGGTCCAACATAACCATTACACCTTTTGCTGGTCCCAATCTGTCCATTTTTTATTGAAATATTTGCCTTTTTCATACTGATCAGTAAAAGCACACTCTATATACTGGGTTGCAAATATTTTTCCTATTATGTAATTTGCCTTCTAATTTACTTTATGGTTTTTTTCTAACTTACTAAAAATTTTTATTTTTTAAAGAATTATTTATTAGGACCCCAAATCGGATCAACCCAAGATGATCTTCTCCAAGACACATTATAGCCAGAGTGACCAAAACCACAAAGACAAGATATTAAGATTGGCAAGAAAGAAATGTCAAGTTACCTACAAAGGATGTTCAATCAGACTAACACCAGCCCTCTCAGAGGGAGCGCTATCTCAGGAAAGCTAAAGTCGGACACATAGAAATAAGAGTTCTAAAACATCTTAGGAAATGGCCAGTTTAATGGTGGGGAAAAGTCCAGAGCAGAACATTATCTTCCATAATTTAAACAGAAAGATTGGACCACAACAGAAGATAGATAAAGTTCCTGGGTCCAAACTGGTGAAATAAAATTTTATGACTTTTGACTAAAACATTATTGACCTTCTATGCTTTGTTTGCCACAGTTAATGATTTTTGTCTTCTCTTGAGTTGGGGACGGGTCCATGTACCTACTGATCAAACAGAACCCTAACCTGTTTCCTGGCTTTAAGTCTTAAGCAAAGTTGTCTTAACATTTATAAGTTTGTATTTATTAAAGCTCAAACTGCCTTTCTTGAAATTAAAAAATACACTTAAAAAAAACCACCTATTAAATGACCACAGTAAGCTATATAGCCTCAGCTAGGTGCTACTTTATAGTATCTTCATCCTACTCACAAAGTTTCACACCTAAAGTCAACACGTGTTCACAGATATGCATATATCAGTTAAACTTGCTATTGAAAGTACTTGGATTAATTAAGATATTTTGTGAATGAATGAAATGTGGGAAAAAATTAAAAAGGAATGGAAAGCAACTGCAGATACCAGAAACAGTGTGGGAGGAGGTAGGAAATGGCACAGGGTGAGAGATGAGGGAAGGGGAAAATATATATACAAGAAACAAGAAATGAAAAATTATTTGTTGATGATAACATGTATGATTAAGTCACTTTACAGTGTATTCTAGATGGGAAATCACATTTTGTATGCTGTGATGATGTTCAGTGAAATAATGTAAAATAAATAAAATTTTTAAAAATAATTACGTAATTTTATTTATTGTTATTAGTAGTAGTATTATTATTTGACTAGAGAGAGACAGAGGTAAAGAGAGAGGGAAAATAAGAAGGCAAGCTGCCAGGTCCGGCCATGTGGGAGTCCAGTACCCTAACCA